AACTGACTTTGAAAAATAAATCTGTTCTTTTTTTTCTTATAAAAGGTTAAATAAAACAAAAACATTGGTGGTATTTTTTGACTGTGTAACTTTACAAATGGCACCCCGTACAGCAACACGTCGACTCGGACCTGGTCGCTGTTTCCTCAGCAGTGAGTCAGGTCCTGGAGGTTCAGCTGATGCTCAGACTTGTTTCCTGTCCGTCAGCGAGCTGCAGGTCGAGCCTTGACATCATCTACAGTTTCTACACGTCTACACTTTTCTGTTTTTCTCCAGCTCGCTGCAAACCTCTACTCCTCTAGGCTCTGGTTTGGGTTTGTTTCAGTCCTGGACTTGATCTTTGTTCAACCTGGTTTAGAACCATTGGTTTTTATGAGCATCTGACTCGTTTTGGGTACTTCATTATGTTGTCTTTGAACAGTTTTTCAATTAATTTGGAGTTTTTAATGGTGAGTTTTAAACTTGGTTTAGATTTAACTGGAGACTCTGCAGTTTATAAAAAATGCTTTTGGAGCATTTCTTTGAGGGACAGAAGATTGTAACGAATATTTGGGAGGTTTGGGGAGTTTTTGAGCCCATTGTGGACATATTGATGATCAGTTTTAGACTCCACCGCTGAAAATCACAAAGACAAAACTATTCAGTTCTTTTACCTTCAAGCTGGTCAGAACCATCTTCTAAAACCAGGTTTCTGTGGGTTCATGGGTCTGGTTTAAACATTAGGGTGAATCCTTGATGATGAAAGATTTTTGCGGAGAAAAAATAAGTGCAAACATTTTGAATTTTGTTGTAAATCAGCCAAAACAGCTGAAAGTCTGAATATAGTACAAAGACGCAGAAAAGAGCATGACTGCTGAATTAAGTAGCAAGAAGCTAAATTATCACAAGAGTGAATTTAGCTGAAAAGTAGCTGAAGCTGGTAGAAGTAAAAAAAGGTTTAAATCAGCAGAATAGCTGAAAAGCAGAAAAAAGCTAAATATGGCAACAAAATAATAGCTGAAAATCTAAATCTAGCACAAAGAAGAAGAAAAAACAGGATTCCCCGACTGCTGATTTATGCAGCTAGAAGGTAAATTATCACAAAGAGGTGAATTTAGCTGAAATAGCTGAAAAGTAGCTGAAGCATAAAGAAGTTTAAATCAGCCGAATAGCTGAAAGGAGGAGAAAAATAGCTAAAACGGCAGAAAAAAGATAAAAGTGGAAACAAAAAAGAAGCTGAATGAAGCTGCAATTAGCAGAGAAAGAAGCAGAATAAAAGTTGAAAAGTGCAGCAAAAGTTTATAAACATTTTAAAGGGTTTTATAGTTATTGAATTCATTTTCAATTACAAAAAAGGGCTAAAAAAAAAAAGCCAAATATCTAAATTGCAGAAACACCAAAAGTCAAAACTGGAATGTGCTGCAGCAGCAGAACATTTTCATGTAGACAATTTTGAAAAAGCACCGAAGTTGTGGAATAAGATATGTGCTAAAAAATGTATGGAGAAGATGTATACATCGTGTGAGCTTCATCCACACAATAATCCAGAAATAAATCACTGAAAGACTGGAATAGCCTGTTTAGTGTTGTTTTTTTATTACAAACTGTAAAAATCTAAAATCTTTTTGATCTTGTTTTGAGACTGATTTACTAAACAAGAACAGAAAGCGTTGATTCATAATCTTGTAGCAGAACATGTAAAGTTATTTATCTCATTAATCTGGAAGTCTGCCAGTGAAGAAAGAAAACTGAACTTGGTAAGATTTTTTAAATCACTTAATTTGAGTCAAGTTTCCAATCTAACAAGATAAATAATCTTACATGTTCTGCTAACAAGATTAATCAATGTATTGTTTAGTAAATCAGTCTCAAAACAAGATATATATATATGTGTATATGTGTGTATATA